CCGAAAATCACAGGTCGGATCAATACATTTCCCAGTAAACTAGTACCAACAGTCTCTCGGATTGAGCTTGGCGATTTCACTATGTCAATACTCACAACAAATTCAATGATTTAAAGAAAAACCAAACAAGAAGATCAAAAAAATTTAGCCTAGGACCCTCTTTCACTTTTATTTTGATGGACTAAATATCTTTAATAAGGAGTATTAAAAGTTTTGATTAAGAAAAAAAAAAAGAAAATTAGATGGTTTTGGTTCAAAACTAACATTGAATATCCATATTGTTGACATTCAGTTCCAGAAACATAAAAATTTCAACAAAAAAACACATAATGCAAGCTGAAAATGAGAAATTGCGAAAGAGGAACAACTTACTTTTGGATGGCCCAAAAGAGAAAAAAAATACCTTCTTGCAAGTGAGGGGAGAGGCTAAGAAATAAACGCAATCGGTGTTAAGTTCCAACAATTCTTCCTCCATTTTTTCTTTGTAAATAAAAAGCTGAAAGACATAGCACTGCTTGGGTTTACAATTTTATATGGCGGAAAATTGAAGAACAAAAACCAAACGAAAGTTCATGTGAGTGAAAGAAACTGAGAGGTGAATCCGTTGTTTGGAATTTCAATATATTTGATCATGTATTGGAAAATCTTTAACAACAGGGATTAAACAAAGAAATTATTATATGCCATTTATACAAAATAATTCAGCTTTGTTGGTAACTTTGAACAATGATACTTAGTTCATCTTAGTATTATTTGTCAACTCTGCATTTTTAACCCCATTTTTCTCAAAAGCATTTCATCGAACATCTATGCTTCACCTTAGATGACCTGTATCTAACATTACACCTTGAATCGTTGACGGTCCCGATAGTCCTTGGTCGGGTCTTCTCTCAATGGACTCTTATTCAAGTCAACACCTCTACATAATTCAAAGTTAGATTAGAATTTCCCATGCATCCCTGACTGAAAAGTTACGTTGGGAATGAGAAGAGAGAAGAGAAAAAAGAAATTCAAGTTCGAAAAAGAATTTGGGGTTTAGAATGAAATTGAGGATTGTGTTGCAAGTTTTAAAAGTTAGGGGACCTAAATGCAAGCTCCTGGAAAGTTCAGTGACCATATTGCAAACGTACTAAGGGCAGTGTAACGACGTCAAACGACTAGTTACGACGTCGGGGACCATATTGCAAAAGGACTAAATGTTGGAGGATTGTATTGCAAGTTTTAAAAGTTGGGGACCTAAATGAAAGTTTTAGAAAAGTTCAATGACCATTAGTATACTTTACCCTAAAAATAAACTACATTCAAAACTACACTAATTCTGACTATTTCTTTTTGAAGTCATTTATGATGGTCTTAGGCCTTAGCTTGCATTTGGTCCCCACAATTTGCAGCATGTGAACTGTCCTCTCACCCGCCAAATAATAATAATATACCTCCATCATTTTAAATCAACTCATATAAGATTATTATAATTTAATTAAAATTTTAAAATTTAGATGTTTATTAACATTTTTATAATTTTGTTTAATTTGACAAAATCAGTTACTAAAACAATCATCGAACGAATAAACACAAAATTAATGATTCGTGAGAAAAGAAAATAATAGTATTGTGTATTATTTATTAATCCACGATATCTACGATGTAGGGACCAACTAAGGGAGGTAGGTCAAGATTGTCGTCTCTCTAAAATTTTAAAATTTTATATATTTTATTGATAGTTTTCTTATAAAATTTTATAAATTTAATCTCTTAAAATTTTATAGAATAGGCGAATGTAAAAGTATTAAAAATAAAATTGAAACTAAATAAAAACAATATATACACTAATTCTCAAATTCAGTTCTGACTTGATCAATAATCTAACACCTCAGCTTTTGATTACAAGAAGGCAAGTGTAGGCAATTCCATGCATATTGCGTAATGTAGTTCTGTTATAGAAGCTAACTACCACCCTTCCAACTCTCTCTATAATTAACCCCAACCTAACTTACATCTACTTTTTTCTCTTCTAATAAATACCCTTCACCCTCCTCTCCTACACTTGTATACCATTTCTTCATCTTCTTCATTTTTTTCATCTTCTTCATCTTCATCTTATGCCAATGGCAAGCTCCTCGAATGATGGGAACTCGAGGAACGTTTGCGTAATGGATGCCTCCGGCCACCTCGGCTCCGCCCTTGTCCACTTCCTCTTGCATAGAGGATACACCGTCCATGCAGCACTTCAGCCCCATGGTCATCGTGGTAATTAGCTACCTTCTTTATCTCCTTTTTTTTATTTGATTTTCTTTGTGCATTTTGACAATTTTTTTGCTGGTAATATCAGGTGAATTCCAATCAGCTGAGGAGCTTCTCCCTTGTGATAGTGAAAAATTGAGGATATTCGATGCAGACCCTTTTGATTATCATAGCATAACGAATGCATTGAAGGGATGTTGTGGCTTGTTTTACTGCTTCGAGCCTCCTTCTGATCATTCTACCTATGACGTATGTTTCTTTGTATCTCTTTCCCTATTATTTAGTTTATCTGTATTATTTTTCTTGATAGGTTCAATTATTTGTATCTTTTCTAGTTTGCAAAAAGAAAAAAAAATTAAAGTTCATTGCATGTTGTACACCTAAAATGGTAGAAGAATTACATCTTTATAAAGAGATGGGAAGAATCAACCATGTGGGCTTGTTTGGTGCAGGAATTCATGGCGGAAATTGAGGTGAGAGCTGCACACAATGTGTTAGAAGCATGTGCTCAAACAGACACAATGGAGAAGGTCGTCTTCACTTCCTCCGTGACTGCCGTCGTATGGAATGAAGGTCGGTCCACAGCCTCGTCCGACCTCGACGAAAAGAACTGGACCGACATCGATTTTTGCAAGAAGTTCAAGGTAACCTACATAATCTTTATCTTCCATTTGAAACCATATTTAGTTTCTTGGGACATCAATTGATCCTAGACTTGAATTTCGAGCAGCTATGGCATGCGCTATCGAAAACTCTTGCTGAAAAGTCGGCATGGGCGCTGGCAATGGACCGAGACATAAACATGGTGACCATTAATGGAGGATTGTTGATGACTCCCGACCTAAACATCACCAACCCTTATCTAAAAGGAGCAGCTGAGATGTATGAAGATGGGATTTTTGTTACTGCGGATCTGAGGTTCATTACCAATGCTCACATTTGTGTGTTCGAAGATGTCTCATCCTACGGCCGATATATATGCTTCAACCATGTGATCAATTGCAGTCATGATGCTGATAAACTTGCTCAGATGCTATTACCTTCCTCTGATTCTTCACCTCCTCAAAGGTTAGCAATTTCCTTCTGGGGTTTTCATCAAAATAAAAATTCATTGAAAGCTTATAAACAGAGATTTAAATAGCAATCCACTATTGGAATAGCAACAATTATATAGTGGTAAAAGTACCATCCGAAATCATTATTATATGCAGGGATGGACCGATCCTCCCCCACTCTCCTAAAATTTTCAAATTATTTTAGATTTTAGATTTTTTCTGTATATTTTTTATTGATAATATGTTTTCGTCCTCTAAAATTTTATAAGTTTGCTCCCCACTAAAATTTTATAAGTTTGCCCCTAGAATAAAATCATGTATCTGTCCCTGACTGCATGATCGCGATACCCGTAATGGCCACAATAACACTCATTTTATCCACAATCACGATGGAAAACACAATCCATACGCAGTTTAAATCTCTGCTTATAAGAGACATAATGGAGCTTTATATTTGTGTGTATAGACTTGTCTGGTGGCATATGGATAGGTGGAATTAATTATTGTTATTAATTTATTGATTATATAAGTACTTTGTGCCCGCAGTTGGGAGAAAACAAGAGTGTATCAACAAAGAATAAGCAATAGGAAGCTGAATAATTTGATGGAGTTAGAGAATGACAAAGTTTTGAGCAATTGAGACTTGGATTGCTGCCTTTGTTATTTTTTAGATGTTTTCAATGTTATGTTATGTTATGAAGAATTGAGTATTTTTTTTCTTTAAAAAAAAGAAGTTTCTGTAAGGTAGGCTATATATTTAGCATCATGTACCCTCCCATTTATATATTCTTTAAAGGAATAGGGAATGGCAACATTTTTTAAAAGAAGTTTGCTTGGTCTTAAGGCTTCTGATTATATTATATTATATATCTCCAGTTGGGAATATCAATATATCTTTAAGCATGATTTATTATTTTATTCATTGAATCCTTTCGCCTGCAAACATACATACAATAAGGCTTTCTATCTGTAACCCAATTCTTTAATCAAATTGTCACTTTTCATTAAAAAAAATGGTGACGTTCTTTTGCCGGCAAATCAGTTAACTAATGAAATCGGAAAAAAAAAAATAGAAATCATTAGAGTTTGTTATTTCAAGTAAGTTTTTTTCTACAAAGATGCCGGAATTACAAGGTGACTTAAGGGAAGACGTCAGAATGACAGGACGACTTCAGGGAAGATGTCGAAATTGCAAGACGACTTGAGGAAAAATGATTAAACAACATGACAGCTCGACGACTTCAGGAAAAACAATTAAACAACACGACATCTTCTACGAAAAACCTTTGTTCACAATCTTGCTGGGTTATGCATAGAGATTAAGAGATGTAGTGTCGTTCAACCGTCTTCCTCAAACACCGTAAATTTCTCCCTAGTTGAAAAAATAAAAGATTTACTGCAACAAAAAGGAAATTTTGTTTTCAATGCCTTATCTGGGCATTTTTACCATTTTCGCTAGTTTGATTTTTACTGTTGCGCATCACAAACAACGGAATCTGCAAAATTATCTAATTCTAAGCAGTTTTTGAAAAAGAAAATCTAATATTTACATCCACTTTCAGGATTAGTTCCTCTTAACAACTAGCTCTATGAATTTCCCAGTATGACATATAAATTCCATAAAAACAAAAAATCGATTCATTACAGAACTGGTTGTCATTAACTGAACAATAGATTACATCTATATGTTCGAAGGAATCATCCTCAGGCACTTGGAGACAGAGACGTGATCGAAGAGATCTTGAACTTGCAGACTTTAGTAGAATTTTGAGGCCGGAATACGACCTCTGTACTCGATCTTACAGTTACTTCCTTCCACTCAGAAGCCGAAGCTCCTCCACTTCGATAATCTCGAGGAGAGTACAAAACCTGAAGCTTTGAATGAGCTGCTGCATCAACAAGAAAAATATAAGATGACTGCACAAGTATATGGCAATACAGCTTAGTAGATAATGACTATACACATCAAGTTCAATGCCTACGAATAATCTTTATGGTACTCCAAATTTTTAGTCTTGTAGGAAACAAGGGAAAAAACAATATCCATAATAATTTCATTGGCAGTTTACCATTTCCAGTATCACAATTTCATTGGTAGTATCTAATTAGAATCTTTCTTAACCATTAACAACGCACGCATGCCCTGCAAACTCAACTGCTCAAACCCAAGATCTCTAGGGAGAACAACACTCCCTTTAAGAAATCTTAAAGATTTTCTAGTCCATAAGAAACAATATATATTTTAAAAGAATCAAACGGGGCAAAATTGCAAGATGACAACAAAATTATGGGGATTACCTAATCCAAACATGCTAATCTTTTGGATGATGAGGCGACTAACTTTCGATCTTTTGATAATTCTCAAAGCTACAACATCCTCTTGCTTCCCTTTAAATTCCAGAAATTCTCCAAGAACATACTTGTTATATTTAAGCTCCATCCTGCACATATCAAGGGAAATCAAGTTCTCTCACGCTTAAATTGGGGATGATCAGAATATAACATTCAAAAGAATCCGAAATCCACTCGTATAACAAATAATTTCATCTTCCTATATGACTGCAAAAGAACCTAATTCCTACCTAATCCCTAACGCTTAATTCAAAATCTCTCGAGTTAGATATTCTTTGCATTATAATTTTATTTACAAGTGTCTGAAAGATTGAAAATCTTGCAATTAGTTAGGAGAACAAAATGAAATTACATAACAGAGTTTTAGTGTCACATAGCAAGGTACATTGTCAAAATTATAGACCGAAAATGACATAATATGAATAAATATAAGGACGAACACAGAATATTATGCTGGGGCAAACTTCTAAAATTTTAGAATGGGACGAACATATAAAATTCTGAGGGAGAGAGGCAAAAACAGATTATCATTAAAAAATACAAAGAAAATATCTAAAACCATCTATATATAATCCACTATGTTAATGAAGTTATGATCAGAATTACTGGTTCCTTAAGTTAAAATCCTGTCCCACATCGGAGCTGTGCTGAGAATAAAGTTATGTTGTTCATGAAAAGATTCCTGCATCTCCTTCTTCCCACCACGAAAGGCACTTTTAATCCATCCAGGAAACATGCTTTTTGGTTCTGGTTTTAATTGCACCCACTGGTCATAAGTGATAACCTCGGATGGAAAATTTTTGTAAAAGGTACTGCAAACAAAATCTATTTAGTACATAATCTTAGAAGGAATTTCCTTTAAAGGGGGCTGGGGAGTTCATCAGTAAATGCCGGAATTCTGGATTTGGAATTACAGTTTTGTACGAAAAATATCCTTCTGGTACAAGAACTCCCCTTTGTTCAATATATTATTCAAGTACTGAAGCTTGTTCTTTAGCCTCTGAAACCTGAAACAACAGATAGTTTATAATCTATCTTCACTTCCCTCTAAAGTTAGAATGCTTTTCTATTGGCAGAAAATAGAAAGAGAATTTTTTTCTCATCAGTGGCAGTAGAAAAGTTTGGCACTCATATTAAGTCTTTCCTTGAACCTATAAGACAACATATATACATTCATAAATGAAGTTAATGAGCATCATGACACTGAGAATATAACCCATCCAGAATAGCTTTTATTGCCAACAAACAATCACATTCCTCACAATAAGTATGTGAACATGCTAGGACTGTAAATGAAAAGAACGACCATTTTGATTTCTATCTGTTTATCAAACTAAATAAACAAATATGATCAAGATTTTGTGAGTTGTTTACTAAACAAACCAAACACAAACAATGCATGTTCAGTTCATTTATGTTCATGAACAAACTCATTTATATTCATGAACAAACTCATTTATGTTCGTTTAATGCTTGTTTAATAACTCATTTACGACTTGTATATTATTTGATTGTTATATAATCAATAATATTGTTGTTTTGTGTTTATTTTATTTATTATGTGATATAATTATTAGCATTTATGTTTGGATATTCTATTTCTAAAATATGCATATTTATGCTTTGTGTCACAGACCGCCAGCCCAAGACCGAGCCCAGTTCGTTCAAGGCTGCCAGAGACTACCTTTGCCACGTTTTGGGCCTTCTAGAAGACCCAGCAGAGCTGGCCCATCCACCTTGGAGAGAGAAGAGGCATGATAATTATTTGAAATTATCTTAGAGATAATTCCCACTAATTATTATTTAATTTAGAGTTATAGATAGAGTAGGGCTCTTTTCTGACCGTTGATGTAATTTAATCTTAACCGTTGATTGTAGGGGGCTCCAACTATAAAAGGAGGCTCACCCCCACCTCATTTACTCACTTCAGATTGAGGAATACAAGTTAGCATTCACTCTAAACTCTCTCTTCTCCATTTGAGCGCCCATCTCTCTATTTTTCCCATTTCCTTTATTTTTGCAACGTTCTAAGCATTCTCGCTTAGTGAAGGTTTGGGTTACTTAGCCGATTTTCGACCTCGAAAACGACTAAGGCCGCACGAGCTTGCTAGCAGCAGTCTAGCCCCGTGACAAGTGGTATCAGAGCCTATTTCTTTTTTATTTTCGTTAGTTCGAGATGGCACCACAACATGGTGAAGCGACGGGTTCTGATGGGAATGAAACCCGCAATGCTGGAAAGAAGAGAGCACCCTCGAAAGATGTTCTCACGTCCATCCAGGAGAAGGTTACCAGGCTCGAGGGTTCCATGACGGAAGCCAAGGTAGTGCTGGATGTGCTAGAGTCCGTAGACCTTGAAAAGCTGGGGTCGTTGGATCTCGATAAGCTGGAGTCCTTGGAGAGTATCAGGGAGGAGGTTCAGGATTCACTCAACGATTTGGATGTGAAGGCAACTGATCGAGGCGATTCCTTAGAAGCCATGGTAGTGGCTTTAAGGAAGGAAGTTGAGGAACTCAAGAGTAAGGGTTCCGATTCTGAGGTGGTCGAGCTAAAGAGGGAGGTCGAGTTGCTCAAGACCGAGGTATTGGTGTGTAAAGCGGCGTTCGGGAATAGCGTAGCCACGGTTGCACCCAAAGCCTTGGGTGACATCCCTAAGCCGGAGAAGTTCAAAGGAACCAGGTCCGCCCAGGATGTTGAGAATTTCCTTTGGGGGTTGGACCAGTACTTTGCAGCCACGGGCATCACAGAGGATGCCAAGAAAGTAAGCATCGCTAGTGTTTACTTGTCAGAGGTTGCCCTCATGTGGTGGCGATGCAGATGCAACGATGTGAAGCGTGGGAACGCTGCCATCGAGACCTGGGTAGAATTCCAAGCTGAGTTCAAGGAACAGTTCTACCCAGAGTATGCTGAGGATGAGGCGCGATCCAAGTTGAGGCGTCTCAAGCAAGAAGGGTCACTGAGGGAGCATGTTCGAAAGTTTGTCGAACTAATGCTCCAAGTCCCAAATTTGAGTGAAGAGGACGGGTTCTTCACCTTCATGGATGGGTTGAAACCATGGGCGAAGAACGAGCTAAGGCGACGAGGAGTTAAGGAGCTCTCTTGCCTTGACGACGGCCGAGTCAATCATTGAGCTTGGCGTCAAGAAGGTGGGACTCCAACCAAAGCCGAAGTTCCGAGGTAGCAGTGGTGATAGGGACAAGGCGTCCAAATCGACAAAGATTTGATGGCAATGCAAGCATCGAATGGTAAGCACTCGGATAGAAGACAAGCAAATATCCAGTGTTACAACTGCAAGGGCCAAGGGCATTTGGCGAGGGACTGTCCGCAGAAGAAGAAACTCTCGGCCATCAAGGAGAAAGAGGGGAGGAGTGAGACTCTAAAGCTTGGATCCATCCTTAGCACCATCGGATAGAAAGACAAGCAAATTATCCAGTGTTACAACTGCAAGGGCCAAGGGCATTGGCGAGGGACTGTCCGCAGAAGAATAAACTCTCGGCCATCAAGGAGAAAGATGGGGGGAGAGTGAGACTCTAAAGCTTGGATCCATCCTTAGCACCATGGAGGTCAAGAAGGGTCGAAAGAAAAAAGGGTTGATGTTCGTTGACATTACCATTGCTGGCCAGAAATTGAGTGCACTAGTGGATACCGGTGCCTCCGAGTTGTTCATGTCAGAACCAGTTGCCAAGAGACTTGGTCTTCATGTCGAGAAGGCTTGTGGTTCTATCAAGACCGTCAACGCCAAAGAGGTTTCGATTGCGGGGGTCACAAAGGGAATTGAGTTAACTGTTGGAGGTTGGTCCGGAACGGAAGCCATCAAGGTGATTCCTCTTGATGACTTCGACTTCGTGCTTGGGTTAAGTTTCTTGGACCGAATCAATGCTTTCCCAGTACCTTTTGCCGATTGTTTGTGCATCCTGGATCCAAAGCAACAGTGCATTGTTCCAGTGAGCCGAGGGCCCGGAGTAGGGGCCAAAGTTCTATCCGCAATTCAATTCTCGAAGGCGGTGGGCAAGGAGGAACCGTCCTTCTTAGCTGTCTTGGTGTGTGAGGAGCCAGCCACAACCAAGAAAGTTCCTGACGTGGTGAGCCACGTGTTGGCAGAATTCCAAGATGTGATGCCTGCCGAGTTACCTAAGAAGTTACCTCCAAAGAGGGAGGTGGATCACAAGATTGAGCTTGTGCCGAATGTGGAGCCACCGCTCGAGCTCCTTACCGAATGGCTCCGCCCGAGTTGGAGGAGATGCGCAGACAGTTGAAGGATCTACTCGATGCGGGTACATCTGACCATCCAAGTCCCCTATGGTGCCCCAGTGCTATTTCAAAAGAAGCACGATGGTTCTTTGCGGATGTGCATCGATTACCGGGCTTTGAATAAGCTCACGGTGAAGAACAAGTACCCGATTCCTCTCATTGCGGACTTGTTCGATCAGCTTGGTGGTGCAAGGTGGTTCACCAAGTTGGATTTGCGATCGGGCTATTACCAAGTCAGGATAGCCGAGGGAGATGAACCGAAGACAGCCTGCGTGACTAGGTACGGTTCGTATGAATACCTTGTGATGCCCTTGGCCTACGATGCTCCAGCACTTTCTGCACCTGATGAACAAGGTGTTGCAACCTTTTCTGGATTGATTCGTTGTTGTCTACTTCGACGACATCATCATTTACAGCAAGACGTTGGAGGAGCATGTTGAACACTTGAAGCAAGTGTTTCTGGTGTTGCGAGAGAACGAGCTCTTTGTCAAAGAGGAAAAGTGCTCATTCGCCAAAACGGAGGTTCCTTTCCTTGGCCACATTATTGGAGGTGGCAAGATCTGGATGGATATGGACAAGGTTCGAGCCATTGATGAATGGCAAGTGCCAACCAAGGTGACGGAGCTGAGATCATTCCTGGGGTTGGCCAACTATTACCGGAGGTTTGTCAAAGGTTACTCAAAAATCGCAGCCCCCTTAACCGAGTTATTGAAGAAAGACAAGGCGTGGGATTGGTGCCCGAAGTGTCAAAGTGCCTTTGATGAAATCAAGCTTGCTATGATAAGCGAGCCAGTTTTGGTGTTGCCAGATCACACCAAGCCCTTTGAAGTTTTCACCGATGCATCCGACGTTGCCATTGGTGGGGTCCTGATGCAAGAGGGACATCCGGTTGCTTATGAAAGCCGGAAGCTCAATGAGACCGAGAGGAGATACACGGTCCATGAGAAAGAGATGACTGCAGTTGTGCACTGTTTACGCACATGGCGACATTACTTACTTGGGTCCAAGTTCGTGGTTTACAGACAATGTTGCCAACAGTTACTTCTAACCCAGAAGAAGTTGTCACCGAAGCAAGCTCGTTGGCAAGAGTTCCTTGCCGAGTTTGACTTGTCCTTGGAGCACAAACCTGGGAAAGTGAATTCCGTGGCCGATGCCTTAAGCCGAAGGTGTGACATGGAGTTTGTGAGTTTGCCGACGGGACAGCTGCGGGAGCGCATCAAAGAGGGGTTGTCACATGATCCGATAGCCCCTTCATTGATTGAGCTTGCCAGGGGGGGCAAGACTAGAAAGTTTTGGCTAGATGGAGGCTTGTTGTATGCTCGAGGACACCGCCTCTATGTGCCACAATTTGAAGGATTGCGAAAGGAGCTCATGAGGGAATGCCATGATTCCAAGTGGGCGGGACATCCGGGGATCCACCGGACTTTGGCCTTGATAGCGGAGCACTATTATTGGCCGCACATGGGCAATGATGTCGAAGCCTATGTGAAGACCTGTCTTGTGTGCCAGCAAGACAAGATAGAGCAAAGGAGACCAGCTGGATTGTTGTAGCCTCTGCCTATCC